CCTCTAGTTGTAACAAAACCAATAATGGATCAAATGGAATTTGAAACATACATTAAAACAATTCCTTATTAAGCTTGAGCTTTTGTTTGTGATAAAATAGACATACCTTAACATTTACCATTTTGGCCATTTTTAATTGTATAGTTAAGTATCTAGAACCCTTCCATCTTCTCAAACAGAAATCCTATAGCCATCCAACAGGAACTCCACATTTCCTTCTCATCTTACCTCCTGGCAAGATATGTTCTGCTTTCTGTCTCTGTGAATTCTTTGCTTATTCTTGATATCTCATGGCTATGGCTTGTCTGCTTATATCCCTCCACATTGTACGTTGTCCTTCAGGAACTGATGAGGTAAAACAGGATGTGTACCTACATATGTATTAAGTATGTGTACAGACATACACATGCATATGGCACATGTCTTATGCAGACACCCATGATGGGATTAATGCCATATGTAAAGTCTTGAGGGAAGTAGTTTGTTCCTTTTTGCCTTTCTACCCCAGGAGGATGCAGTAAGAAGATGACCTCTTTGAAGCAGTGATTGAGTACTTGCTAGCCTCTGAACCTGGTGGTGCCTTGATCTTGAACTTTCTCACTTCTAGAACTGTGAGAAATAAATTTCATAAAAAATTATATATAAATTTCCCATCCTGAGATATTTTTTTATATAGCAGGAATGAGATAAGACACTCTAACAAGTAGAATCATAAAATATTTGTTCTTTTATTCCTTGTTTATTTAGCATTGCTTTTATTTCACTTAGCATGTTTTCAGAATTGATCAATATTCCAGAATTTCATTCATTTTTATGGCTGTGTAGTATTCCATTGGATGCATATAACTAAATTTTATTTATTTATTGATGGATATTGGCATGGTCTTTGGGATGGATATTGGAGCACTTTAGAGGTTATAAATAATGTTGTTATGAACATTGGTGTACACATATCTATGTCTCTGTCTCTGCTTTCAATTCCTTTTTTTTTTTTTTTGGTACCAGAGATTGAACCCAGTGACACTTAACCATTAAGCTACATCCCCAGACCCCTTAATTTTCTATTTTGAAACAGGGTCTTACTAAGTTGTGTGTGGCCTCACTAAGTTGCTGATGCTGTCCTTGAACCTGTGATCCTCCTACCTCAGCCTCCCAAGTCACTGGGGTTACAAGCATGCGCCGCCATGCCAACTCTGCTTTCAATTCTTTTGGGTAAATACCCAAGAGTGGAATTGTCAATCATGTAGCAATTCTATGTTTAACTGAGGAACTGATGAACTGTTTTTTTTTCCTTCTCAATGGTCATACCATTTTAAGAGTCTACCAGTAATGCATGAGAGTTCTAGTTTCTCAATATCTTTAGCAATACTTAATATTTTCCATTTTTTAAAATAATAACCATCCTAATGGGTATTTTAACCTTGATTTTTATATTTTAAATGACTAGATACTTTAATAATCATATATATTTATTTATACTAATTTTGTACAAATTGTCACTAAGTTGTAATTTTGAATGATCTAAATTTGAATAATTTCATTGGTTTGTTTGGCCAATCTCTCTGACTAAACTGGAAAGATCCTTTACTTAAAAGTGGTTCCAATACACACATAAATAGCATTTAACCTTTTGTGAAAGCCTTCATAGAAAAGTAGCTTTGTTTGAATGCATAAAATTAGTTTAGAAATAAAATTCATAGCTATGTGCAGAAAGATGAAATGATACAGATTATAATTCAGGGCATTTCTGTTGTTGGTCAGGTAGAATAAAGTGTTTTTGCTAAGAAAATTGACATAGAATACATAGATATGTATATTTAACTACACAAATACACATGATATGTGTATATCATAAGGATAAAAATCTTTATAAGCAGGAGGCTATTGCAGAGAAGATATGGGCAAAATAAATAAGTTTTCATGGGCATGAAAATCTGAGATACCCTGGTTGACTGTATTTTAGAACATCTTAAAGGAGACACTGACATTCTGGGACTGGGCTAACAGAAAAAAGTAAATCTACTTGCACATTCTAATTGTGGATTTTTTCCTTTTCACTCCAGGAACCTAAATTTTACTTGGTTTGAATAGGATTTGTGTTTTTTCAAAGATTGCTCTGTGTTAAGTCCATACTTCTGGCTAGTGGAGACTGTGTTAGGAACTAGCTCCACATTTGAGAAGCTACTCAGAGGAGAGCTGGGTCCCTTGTTTTGGGAGAAAAATCAATGCGTATTGAGTTTTGATTGAAGATGGCTACAAACCATCCTTTAGACACATTTGAAGGTTTAGTGTTTCATTTCTTGCACTAAGCACCAACATTTTATCACCATATAATTCTACGTTTATATAGCTTTGGAGCTTCAACTTTTGAGTTCATGTCTGAAATAAAAATCCTTAAATTATTTATTTGTAGTTTTAAGATGAAATAACTTAGTTATATTCTTTTTTCCAGAATTGAATTCAACATGCCTTACACAATTATTATGTAGAAAGACTCATTTACGAAAGCAGATACAAGTGAAATCATTCTTATTTGAGATAAACAATGTTGATGGCATTTTCAATGAATGATACAATTTCTGTTTATCAGTAAGTATGTTTATAATAATAATGTTAGTCCAAGAAAAGTTCTGCACAACTCTGGTTAGGGCAGTGTAAAACATAAATAAAATAAATTATGCCCCTTTCTCAGATAACTTATGTTTCATACTGCACAGAAATGCATTGCAAGTTGAAGTGTTGGAAACATTTAAAATACATCCATAAACGAGAGACCACATTGTCAGGAATAGCCAGTATTCTTATTATACTGGAAAATGCATGTTAGCCTGGGTAGTTATGAAAATAAATGAATCATTGCCTCTTTTCCAATGAATGAATCATGGGCTGAATGGATGCAAAGGTTTCGAGTGCTCTTTCTTTGAGCGATGGCAAGAATTTTTCATCATTTTACATATTATTCAATATCTCTGTCACTATCCCTGTTGATAAATGATATGAAAAGTGATCCATTATCATTTAAAATCAATTGAGATATTTACAATTTATACTTTACTTCTATAGATCTGAAAGTGCTTTCCAAAAAATCAATTAATTTGCACAAAAGGTTAGTCTTATTATCACCATTTTATGGACAGATTCAGAGTAAGAGAGGTTAATTAACCCATCACAGAGTCCAAAAGGCTGAAGTGGCAAGGCAAAAATGGACTGAGCACCAATTTGAAGGCCAGGAACTCTGCTTTTAGCATGGATTTTACTTGATTGAGATCAGTTACTCTAGCCTAAAAAGCACATGCAATAATTCTGAATTATCAGGCAGAAATATGGTGTGGATTAAACAATTAATTTCTGAAGTCCTTTATAAATCTGAATTATTATTACATTTTCTAGCCTTAGACTACTAAGTAGGTCTAGCACTGGTACCTAAGCATAAATTAATTGACAAAGTGATTCTCACTTTTCCTGCGGAGAGATAAGAAACTCCTTGTTCTGATTGGAAATCTATATGTACTGTGGTACATTTTACTCTGATTTCCTTAATTAATGTCTTTGTATCCAATTCCCTAAAAAACAGGAAATTCATCTTACATAGACAAATATCATGTTCAATGTACTTGCATAAAATGTTCATGATTCTATTATAAATGTCTATCTCTTTTTTCCTGGAGATTCAGTTTAGAAATAATGTTAGGTAACTAGTCTAATAACATTTTGCTTTACTAACATTTTATACATACATCTGGAAAGACTGTTGAAAATGCTATTTTCTCCAAAAAGTTTGTCTAGGTTATCAAGGTTTGTGCTTATGTTTGGTTCTTTTTCATTAAATATACTTATGGAATATCCCAATATCCAGGGGTTGCTTTATTGAAAGTTTATTCTCTAACCCTTTGATTGAGAAACTTATTGTTAGAAGGACAATAATATCAAATATTTTATTTAAAGGAATTCAGAGCTGAAGTTTGAAAGATATAGGGACTAACACTACTTTAGTTTTATGCTTTTGTCAGGGGTAAAAGGAAATTTAACTAATGAATTATTTTTCATATAGAAATGAAGTACAACCTCAAGATTGTATTAGAACAGCTTTGAAGTCATTGCTTCAGCAAATATCTATTGAGAAGTTATTACTTGCAAGGCATGTTTCTAGATGGTGAGAGTAAGGAAACTATACCACTGACAGTGTAGGAATTTCTCCTCTATTCTTAGATTTTTAAAAAAATTATGAAATGGTGTTGGATTTTGTCAAATTCTTTTTTCTGAGATGATACTTTTAAAAAATCATTTATTCTATTGCTATGGTACATTGCATAGATTTGTTTTCATATGTTGAATGTATTTTGCATTCTTTAAATAAATTCCTATTTGTCATAGTGTATAACCTTTCCTATAAATTGCTGGTTTTGATTTGCTAGTATTTTGTTGAAGACTTTTGTGCCTCTCTTCATGAAGGCTGTTGGTCTTGATTTTTCTTTCCTTATAATGTCTGTTTCTCATACAAGGATAATTCTGGCTTCATGAAATGAACTGGGAAGTATCTCCACCTCAGTTTTTTTTTTTTAATTGGGGATGAAGTGGGGAGAATTTTTAAAGGACTGGTTATTGACTAATCAATCGTTCCTTAAATATTTGGTAGAAACACCAGTGATGGCATCTTATCCTAAAATTTTTTCATTAAATCTTTCTGATTACTAATTCAGTCTCTTTGTTATAAGTCTGTTTAGATTTTTCATTGTTTCTTGAGTATGTTTAGGTAGTTTTTATTTTTTAAGGTATTTGTCCACTTCATCTGGGCTATTTAATTTATTGGCATACAATTATTTAAACTGTATTCCTAGTATTTCTTTAAAGTCAGTAGTGATGTTCCCACTTTTATTTCTGATTTTAGTAATTTCAAAATTTACTTTTTTGTCCTTTCAAAAGCCAACTTTTTGTTTCATTGATTTTTTTTCTATTTTCTATTCCCTGTTTATTTATTCTCTCATCTTTATTATTTCTAGTTTTTTTTTTTTTTTTTTTTTTGGTTCTAAACATCTTTACTACAAGACTGCAAGAGCAGGCTGAAGACCTGGGTGCTTTGAGACAGCCTTCCACTGGACAGGCCACGTGTCCCGGTCGCATCCGTGCCAGCAAGCGTAAAGCCATGACAGAGCTGTAAGTGAGGAGGAGGAGACTGAGGAGCCAGCGCTCAAGTCGCGAGTGCTGCAGCCCCACTAGGCGTGGGCTGGGAGTCTGATGGCACCTGGAACCTACGGGCTGCAGGAGCAGGGTGGCAGCGCGTCTCTGGGGATCTAACACGTCCTTGCTTTAAAGTGCATCCTTTAAAGTTCAAACTACCTATTTCCCTTTTAAACATGAACAAAATAACAAAAGCTTAGGAAACCTATAGTTGTCAAAATTATGTGCAATTCCTCAACAAATTGTGTTAAGTGATTCTCTGTAAACTTTTTTGGGCCTGGGGAAAAAGTATTAACAACTTGGATTAATTTTAGAAAACATACAACTGTAGGTCAACCATATTTACAAAAAACAACTGTCCGCTAGGCTCTGACAAGGCACAGACTGCTGTGACCAGTCTGTAGGCTGCTTTGTATTTTGCTTAAAAAAATGGATAAAATTTCAAAAATACAAAATTTGACATGAGTGTAAACACATGTGCAAGTGTAGGCACTGGAGATGCCAGGCTCCATACTGAGGTCTACACAGCGAGGCGCGCAGATGCGCCCACAGACCGATACTGAGGTCTACACAGCGAGGCGCGCAGATGCGCCCACAGACTCGAAGCATGCTGCAGGGGCTGGGCAGGAAACCACAAGAAGCTAATGGGCACTTGAGGGGACACGAACGGCAGCAGCACGGGGTCAGCTATGTCTCTGCCCCTCTCTGTAGCTCACTAAGGAATTCACTGGACCATGCTAATAACATCAGATCCCCAAAGGTGGCCACCCCGGTCCTCCCTCCAGTAGCAGCGGGCTGGCTTGAGGTCTCCCGCATTCCCGAGTTCCCCTCAACAAGGCTTTCCTTGGGGGATGGCTCCACGCTGAGCTGTCTAGAAGCCAATCTTGCCTCTGGTCATGGAATAACCCAGTTTGGCCTCGTTGTTGATGAAGGACATCAATCCCACGTAGGTCTCGATGAGCAGGGGCCGCTCCAAGACCAGCACACCATTCGCTTGTCCTGGCAGAGGACTTTCTTTTTGGGCTTTTTTGACAGCTTGGATTAACAGAGCCTTGAAGCTTTCCAACTGGCACAGAGAAGCCGTCTTTTCATCCACACCAGCCATTGGGTGCTCTATGAAAGTGGCGTAGGGCACGTTTGTGGACCAGGGGTTCCATCTGTTTATGAAAGAAGGACGACTCTGCTTGTCCCATTGGATGCGAATCCCAAAGCCTTCTCGCTTGTTGAGAGATTTGGGGGGAAACTGGAACTCTCCGTGGGAGATGGTGTCCACTGCACTGAGTGCCACCCTGACCACCTGCTGGCACTGAAGGCTGATGAAGTCGTACTTACAGATGAGCAACGACTGGTCAGTGACCAACACCAGACGCTCTTTTTCGTTGTTCCAGTGGTCCACCTCGGTCAGCAGCCACACCCCCTGGATCTCGCCGTCCTCCACGGGCCGGACAACGGCGCGGATCTCTTCCACGGCCTGCTCGATGGTGCCGGGCCGGAACACGAAGTACTCCTTGACGCGGGCGCGGCGCGTGGGGTCGTGGACGCTGAGCGGCCACAGCGTCTGGCGCAGTGGCGTGCCCACCCCTGCCCGGGCCCCGCCTGCGCTGCCCGGCCCCACATCCTCGCCGGCCGCCAGCAGGGTCGTGGGGCTCGTGCCCGCGGAGTCCACCGAGTCCCGCAGCTGCAGCATCGCCACTCCGGGCCGGGACCTAGTTTTTTTTTGAATACTGTTTGCACGGTATATCATTTTCTCTCTTTTCACTTTTATTTGTTCTGTAAACCTAAAGTATGTCTCTTGTGGAAAGTATTTACTTGGATTATGGTTTTAAAAAAATCTTCCAATTTTTGCCTTTTAATTGGCAAGTTTAAATCACTTATATTTAATATAGTTACTGATAAGGTAGGATTTGCATTTGCCATTTGCTCTTTTTTAATAAACATGTTATAAATTCTTTGTTTCTTTACTTTCCATTTCTGCCTTCTTTTTGTTTTGTTAAATATATGTTCTATATTGTACCATTTTAATTCTTTTGTTATTTCTTTTACTATATTATTGAATTATTTTCCTAGAAGTTACTAGGGATTACAATCAATATCTTAGTTTGTTACAATCTAGTTCAGATTAATATCAATTTAATTAAAAAGTATATAGCATTCTCCTATGTGACTCCATTCTAGTCTTCCTTTCTGCTGTTATTGTTATACAAATTTCATTTTAATAAATTATATGACCATATATACAGATTAATAATATTTTGTACTGTTATCTTTTAAATCATATAGAAGAGAGATATCTACTGTATAAAAATATATGATTTGCCCTCATGTTTATTGTGGTTACTTGTTTGTTTAATGATTTTTCTTTACCAGTTCTGTTAGGTCTATACCCTTTTGTATTAACTTTATTTAATTTTTTTCTTTTTTCCTTTTTTCAACATTTTTATTGGTTCATTATAGTTGTACATAATGATGGGATTTGTTACATATTCATAATGCACATCACTATTATTTGGCCAATATTGCTCCCCAATACTTCCCCCTCCTTCCTTGCCTCTTAGCTGTGCTCCCTTTCGTCTACTAATCTCCCTTTGATATTCATGAGATTCTTCCCCACCCATTCCACCCATACTTCCCTCCTGCCCCGCTTTTTCTTCTCTAGCTTGCACATGAGAGAAAACATAACAACCTTCTGAGTTTGGCTTATTTAGCATAGCATAATGGTCTCTAATCCTGTGCATTTTCCTGCAAATGATATTTTAAGTTTTCTTTCTAGTTGAATAAAACTCCACTGTGTATATATACCAGATTTTGTTTATTGATGAACATCTAGTCTGGTTCCATAGTTGGGCTTTCGTGAATCATGATGTATCACTATAATATGACGACTTTAATTGTTCTGGATAAATTCTGTATAGGGATACTATAGCTGAATCATGTGGTGGTTTCCTTCCTAGTCTTTTAAGGAACTTTCATACTGATTTCCAAAGTGGTTGTACTAATTTATAAGCCCACCAAGAGTATAAAACTGCTCTTTTTCTTCAATCTTCTTCTGGTTCACTCAAATAACTCTTCACTCAGACTAATTATAAGCTATTGGTTTAACAGATATTTCTTTGCAACCAATGTCCAAGATTTTTTTTTTTCAAGAGGCCACGTGTGTTTTCAGGACATGTCTTCAACACTAAACAAAGCAGTTGACAACTCTGCTTTTTCGTTCACTTTCTATATCTGCAATGTTGTTGTCAGACACAGGTGAGGGCTTATAGCTTCTCAGGTCTACTGAATATGTGCATATCCCTGGTGATGTGCATAGACCTAACAATACACATCCTAAGAACATAAAACCTTCTAGATTCTCAGGAATATGTCAGGACTTGGACATCTCATTCCTCAGAATTTTCTTCCAGGTCTTTGTTTAGCTAATTATTTATTTTACCTTCTGCCTCAGGCAGCTATGATGTTCAGCAATCACCTGATTCTTTTCAGTGGACACTCTGAGGATAAATGTTCTTGGCATGGTGCAAGCTATGAACCAGGTCACATAAAGGCTGTCCTTTAAGTGGACTCTTCCAGGCAATCACCAGACAGGCCAGATAATGATATTTTTCTGAGAGAGAAGTTTGAAAGAGCTCCAACCACATTTTGTTCCCTTCAGTGGCTGCCAGCTGCTATATTCACCATGAATCTGGGCTTTTGGTTTACAATGCTACCATAGATCTTTGCAAGGATACATGAGAATGAGTCAAACAAAAACATTACAAAGCTTATTGCTATTACCAAAATTTAGTTGTTTAAAAATACTCCTTCATTTCTGTAAACCTTTAGTTAATTCACAAAGTTCTGAAAATGCTGAACTTGATTTTTTTGTTGGGTGAGGGCAGGATTCTGATCAATTTTTATGGAGGAGATAATTTTCAGAGGTCCATATTTGCCATTTTTACTGATGTCAGCAGAACACTTATGAATAATTTAAATCTTTCCTAATTTTTTAAGGTGTTCAAAATTAAATCTGGTTGTTTTAGGAATTTTATTGAAAATAGCCTGTGGTAGGAATTTGTGTGCAGGGTATTCATTTGAAATTCTAGAGGGGAAAACAAAGGAGGAGAAAGAAGGAGATATAGATATAGATTAAATAAGATAGAGATAGAGATAGAGAGAGAGAGAGAGAGAGAGAGAGAGAGAGAAAGGAGAATGATCCTCTATAATATACAAGCAATGAGACTGGGACTACATGGAACTTCTTCGGAAGTACACAGAAAGCTTTCCAGACTAGAGATGAATTAATTTATCCATCGGCTTTTGTTTCTTAACTCCTCCATGTTTCCAGTTCCCCAGTATCCACAGGCAGAGCAAGTTCCTGAACCATGCATACACTGGGGGAAAGTGGTGGTGTTTTCAGGAGACAGTATCAACACAAAACCCAAGTTCTCAATAGCATTGTTTCCCCGAGCAGAGATTGCAGTCAGAGATATGCACCGTTAGTGGTCTCCAGAGCAGAACTTGTAGGAAATTGATTTATTATTATAAAGAATTTGCTCATGCAACTATGAAGGCCAGCAAGTCCTAAGATCTGCAAAGTAAGTAGCATGCTGGAGAACCATGGTATATACTGTTTCTGTATAAGACGGAAGGTCTGAGAACCAAGAGAGCTAATGGTTTAGTTCCAGCCTGAAGCTCAGCAGGTGGAAGACATGAGAGGAGTTCATACTTCAGTTTGAGTTTGAAGGTAGGAAAAAAATCTAATTTCATAGGCTGTCAGGTAGGAGAATTCCCTCCTAATTTCAGAGGACTGGATAAGACCAACCCACTGTTAGATTACATTACTTAGAGTATCAGTGTTACTCTTATCTAAAAATGACCCCCCAAAATCATCCAGAATCATGTTTGGGCAAATATCTGGGCAACTCTTGGCCAAGTTGTGTTCAAACACAAAATCAAGCATCACATTATGGCATTTGTACAACTAGTTTCTAATCAGAGAATAATATTTTTTTATACAAATTAGCAAATAATTGCTTTATAGGACAATACAGTATTGTGTTAAGAAATTCTAAGCCTCAGCTAATCAACTTCCATGGATAGAAAAAGAACTATAGTACTCAGCTAAGCTTCAGTAGTATTCCCAAAGTAATATAATGCATTGGAAGAAAAATAAGCATCAACATATTCTGTTTTAGTTAAGACAAACCATTTATAGCTATAAAGGTATACTAACAAATAAGAAAAGTATACCACATTTTGATTATGAATAACATATGTACTATATTTAATGTCTCCATCTTCTCGAGTGTATGCATTATCATTTATTATTAAGGTATGCTGTAGAGGGAATTTATATAGTATATAAATGTTTATTAATTTATGACCCAAGTTTCTCTAAGCTGAGCTATAAGTAAGTTATTTTCCATTTCATTTGATATCACAGTTTTAGGTGCTATTTTATATTAATAGTGAAATTCATTAAATTTGTACTTAGCAATCTATGTTTCTTCTATTTTAGTGCTATATGACAGAATTAGATTTCTAGCCCCAGGGTACTGAAAGGTGACAGCAAGGTTCTGTTGCATTTTTGAAATTTATTAGATGTATTTTGAAAGCAATACCATATGCTTAGATTGGGAAGATGGGTTTTTCCAAGTCCCCTTAAAAATCTTGTGGCGGTGGTGGTGGGGGGAAGGAAATTCATGCATTAGAACAGAAAATGCAGCTTTACTAGTACTTGTATAATTTTCTTTTTCTTTTTTTTTTTAGTAATAAAATACCTATGGATATAAAGGTTACATTATATTGTTCTAGTTTTGTCAGGTAAATCAGATGTTTAATTTATAGAATGAAGTCCTTTTTCAGATTTTAATACATTATTGTTTATTTGGTGCTGATTAACTGTAATTGAAAAAATTCCTGATTTAGACTAGATTTGAAAATTTTGTGCTTATATTTAAGATTTTTGCCTTTGAGGTTAGTGTTAGTATGGGTTAAGACTTTTGAGTATATTAAGAAGGAATAAATGTATTTGCATGTGGGATGGGTGTTAATTTTGGTGGGTCAAGTGTAGACTTCATGGAGTCAAATTGTGTCTCTCCAAAATTCATGTCTTTTTAGAATTTTAGAATGTGCTCTTTCCTGGAAATAAGATCTTTTCAGATGTAATTATTTAAAATGAAGTCTGAAATAGAAGTTTTCAGACTTGTAGACGTCATTATCTGAGAATAAATTGTTGTTATTTTAAGTTACCCAGTTCATGGTAATTTGTTATGGAAACCCTTGGGAAGTAAGACAGTATTTATGCTCGGATATGTCAGGAATGAACAGATAAACAGAAGTTGGAACTCACTAGACCTCTAAGAACACATGAATATAGGACAATCATAGATTTACATGTCAAATATAGTATTGGTGACTAAATCCATACCATAGTATTGCTAGCAACTTGCCAGGTTTGTATATAAAGACCACATGTTTTCAACTATTTAAGGAATTATGTTATGCCATAGAACTTTTTTAGGGACTCAGAACCCAGTTCAAAAGAATTTTCCCAAGAATCCCTACCAAGTACACAATCATCAGGTAACCTCCAAAGATAACCTCAGATATCTTCTTGAAGCATGTCCAAATATTCCTTCCCAATTTTCCACTATATTTTCACTGAGACTAATGCTTTTCTGTAATGTTTTCATCTTGCCTTTACATAGCACTCTATCACGT